TCCATTATGGAATTATACTCTACCACAGTGCCCAAGTTTTATACTTATATCAACACCATTATCTCGTTAACTTAGATTTTTATTCACATAATTGTTATGTTATTGAGCTCGCTAGACAGTCCCCTACACTTTCCCCTATATAAATCAAACGGTTGGGTTACGTGTAAGATTCATAACACAGTTTATCTGAGTTACTGTGCAATAAGTGTAAAGTCAGTTCTTCTGTATAGTTAAAGGGCTTGAAGATTCATCTAAAGTATTTTCTCAATCTATGTAGAATTCTATTTATTGATAATGTACTAACTGGATGCAATACTGTAGTAAAAATGCTGAGAATTCCATTCTGTATCACAAGTACTGTTTTGGAATAAAGCAAATTATTATTATTATTATTCCAACAGGCTGCAGACTTCTATTGACAGCTGCCTTAGCTCAATACTGAAGATCGACAGACCAGAAAGGATTGACAAAGAAAATTATCAACGAACCTACCCAAGGCCTACTGCCCAACAAATTTGCTCACGGTAACGGAGACAGATTGGACATACGATGAGGCGACCATCAACTGACATCACGTGTTATGCAGGCTTTCGAGTGGAAACGGAATCCATTACATACTTCCATTCAAGAAATCAGCTATGATAAAGGATCTAGACTGATTATTTATTTGATTGATTATTTATGTATACTAAACGTAATAATATCAAGGAGACGTACCGAAAGATAATATTCTTCTTGACAATATTTTGCATTAAATTTCCTGAATTACTTGAAAATGTATAAAATAAACATATGTTTGCCTCAGTGTATAAAATTCTTATAAATGCCGTTTCGAAAATGCATCCCTCTTTAACGAATTAGAGCATACTACGACTAACAAAATAAATTTACATTAACGCAATTGGAAACCTGGTTGAAAATTCATTAGGATGCATAACTCTTTAGCCACAAATGGATACCGCTTATCGAAGATGACGGAAGGAAAGAAGAACCCTGCGTTGGATATTGAAATAAGGTTTTAAAATGTCACACAGATTCACAGAGAAACAGTAATATCTAATCATCGCCAAACTTTTGTAAGACTATAAATTTATAATTAATCACCAAGAGAGACAGCTGATTTGTCAGCTAGGATGTCCATACGTCAAGTGTACTCGAATAAAAAGTACTTTTAAGTTCATTATAGAATTTATTATGCTGTCCTTCAACGAGATTTCCTTTTTAATTACCCTTGGAGCTTTTATTACGACGACAGACGTCGTGATTACCTGTTAAGGAACATTTACTTAGAGTCCCATGTTCTTAATACAGTCTGCTGTGTCCTCTTACTGTTCATACTAGCGTGACAGTCAAATCCAATGAAGGACACTGCTTTTTCCTCCGTTCTTTTCCTTTTATCGGGTCCCATTTTTATGCCGCACATCTCTTGGTACAACTTCGCTCTTTTTAACACTTCACTAGATTACTAGCCTGTACTGAGGCCACAGAAAAGGGAATCGCTAGACGTGGGGCTAACGACCCTACCTCGGAAAAACAAACCAAAATCTACAGAAACCTCAAAGTCAAGGAAAAATGTAGGAAATAAACTAGTACTCCGATGGAGTCGCAAACAAGAGACGACGTGGACTGGTGAAAACTTTCGAGAAGCCAGCCACTCGATGCGTCTTCTTCCAGTGCAAGCCAAAATAAGCATGGGCACGGAATGTCCACGCAGTGTTCGAAGCTGAGAGTTCTGCTCGGACTTCCAAAGATATGAGGATATATAGCACACAAGTAGCTAAAATCTGTGAGTGCAGACAGCATTGAACTGGACTGTTTAACTTGTTGACTACAGAGTCAATAATCTACCCCAATCACCCAGGCGGCAACCACGAACAAACTGAAGCAGTGGATATAAGATTGTCAACAGTAACATCGGAAGCCCTTATACAGTGGAAACTGATCTCCTCCGGAATGACGGCATCAAGATTCAACTCAAAATGTGTGAAAGTTAAAATTATCCAATGCTACGTTCTTACAGTCAACGCAGAACAAGACAGTAAAAAAGAATTCTACAGGCAACTGCAAACAGTAATCCGTGAAATCCAACATATGGAGACATCGAAATCCTAGTGGATGATATAAACGCAGGCCAAACTGAAAGTAGACTTTATGGAGGGAGAACTCGTGCATCGAGAAGCTCTTGGAGAAATGAATGTAAACGGAGAACGCTCCACAGACTTCTGCACGCTCACTGGTTTGAAGATTGGAGATGGCATATACAAGCAATGCGACATGGGTTCTACCAAATAGACACGCCAAAATTCAGACAAACTTCACCTCTATCCCAAGAAAGTGGAAAGGGAGTCTACCAGAAACAAAATTGAGAACAGAGGATCTGGGTTCATACCATTTCCTAGTGCAAAATCCTTCAAATCAGTTGATAGCCTTCAAAAATACTAGGAGCAGACCATAATTCAAGCCCAAAACACAGAAATTGAAGTACGAAACCAAGGATGACATGCTGACAACTGAATCAGTCACATTTCAACCTAAGAAGTGATCCTCATGAATGAAGTGTTGCACGCTGCCAATCCAACAAACAAAGAGGAAAGCCTGGTTTACTTGGCAACTGTCCAAGAGCCAGGCTGACCATGAGACTTATCTGGAGCTCATGAACCGATAAAAACTGGGGTCAGGAGTGACAGGAGGCCATTCCTTGCCAGAAAACTCCTGGAAAACCTCAAGAGCATGTGCTGATTTATGCCGGAGAGAAGACCTATCAACAAGTGGGTAAGTGCCTTAGGAGGTCCCAGCGGTCAGTATCTCACTAGTTTAGAAATGGCTGAAACAATCTGTTCGGTCAATGAAATACAGCTAAACAGCCCTGTAGATATTACCGGTATAAGCCATAAGGGCTACGCTACTAACCTACCATGCGCAAACCGAATGGGTTCACACCAAACAAACTTCTCAACGGTATAACGGAGGCTATAGAAACTCACCCCTGGAAAGTACCATGTTGTAATGACTGTCTGCCATTCGCTCTGAAGCAATGCACTGAAGCTCTCTGCAGGCCCCTATGTGACCTGTTCCGACACTCCGTGGATTCAGTGAAGCTGCAAAAAAAAGCGGAAGAAGGCCAGCCTTTCTCCTATATTTATGGGTGGGGATCGACATGATCCCAAGAGTTATAGACCAACAGCACTACTCCCTATGGTATCAAAAGTGCTGAAAAGTCAGACTGATGATTGCATTAGGCAAAACCTCGACAGGACTAACATACTCCACGAGGCACAATATACTTTTAGGAGACGTAGATCCTGTGTGATAAATCTACTGTCAGCTTGGAAATTCTGACATCACTCTGGTATGTCAATGTCTCAGTCCACATGATCTTCCTCGACCTCGCGAAAGCATTTGACGGAGTTCAGCATGATGTCCTCCCATACAAAATAAGTCAGGAGGGTATTGGTAGCCCGCTTCTGTCACAGTTGGAACACTACCCAAACTAAATGGAATACTGCACCAAAGTCAATCATATCCGATCATTCTGGCACATTTAGGCACCATGAACATCAAAGGGTTCCCTCCTGGAGCCGCTGATGTTCTTGACCTTTAACAATGACATGCTATGCGGTTTAGACTGCCCGGCTCTTTCTTACTCCGACGATGTGAAGATTTGGTGGGCAATAAAGCGCTCGGAAGACTTTGACAGGCTACAGACAGGCCAAAATCCCCAGAAGATTGGGTACTGGTGAGTGGAATGACTTTAAACCTGGGAAAATGCAAAGTGGTGCAACTATTCACCTGTGGTCTGTAGAATGTAAGTCACTCTCGCTGTAATGATAACTTATCCTATGTAACGCCGGAGCGCGGCTTAGGCCTGGTCCTAATGGAAAAATGGACACAAGGGTGAAGTGAACGGAGAATATAGACAGGACATGAGAAGTCATACACTTCACACATAGACAATTAAGTGCGTTCATACCCGAGCTTTTTCCAAGGTTGTACAAAACATACGCAATACCACATATTGAAGTGTACAAAATCACTACTTCCACGCCATTCGGTAAATACGCTAATCATTTGGAAAGAGTCTAAAGACAATTGACATTAGGGGTGATGGATATCAAAAATAAACCATATGGTAAATAGCTGAAGAAATTAGGTCTTTTCAAGCTCAGATACCGTCAGCTTAGGCGTGACTTATCACCGCCTATAAGATTACAGATAGGTGGAATCGCCCAAAAAAGGTATTCTGCTATTTGGTACGCATGGGTTTCCTTGTGACAATCCACGAAGGACAGGGCACCAGAAAAAAGGATTCTTTTTCACTCCGACTCTACCATCCCTAGAACTTTTTACCAGCGGACATGACTACTGTGACATGAAAATCTCTAAGGGGAGACTGAACAGTCCAAACGGTCTCTCAAAACTCACTCACTGTTAATTGGCATACACCTAAAACTCATGCCTTTATTACTTCCCATTCTCCGTGTCTTACTCATCTGACTAATTTATGTGTTCATTCCCTTACACTAATATTGCTACTGATATACATACATATATATACGTAAATTTCAAATTCAATTAGATATCCTTATGTAAGTTTTCCTCTCCTTATATTCTACATAATTTACACTAATCACCTCTTTTCAACCATACCTGATGAATAACAAGTGAAAGGATCTACCCCATTCACATTAGTGACACCGTCTTAGCATACTATATATGTATGTAATATATATATATATATATGTAATCAGTCCCAGCACCAATCCTTTTGAAACCAACCAAAGCTACAGCGGCCAAGTGGCAGGACCAACTACACACAAGTCTACCAAAGACCAGGAACCTCTGCCTTGCAACCAAAACACGAACATAAAAGACATTTTGCCTTATACTTGCTCGCAAAAAAACATTAGATATTAGGTTGGTGATTGTGTGGTTTATTTAAATAATCTCGCTATTTTTTACGTGGGCATTTTGAAAACGCGTTACGATGGGTCTAAAGATACATGTTGTTTATTGGTAGGGTGTATTCGTTGAAAGCTTAATCTATCTCTCTTTAGTGGGGCATGAGGTTATGAGCCAAAGGTAGGTCTTTTTGGATATTCGCAGGCGTTTATGTGTCGATGTATGATAATTGTTATATTGTCCCAAGCTCACTAATTCTGAAATAATTCTAACATTCTGTAGCGAGTAAATTCTGAAGTGGATTCTTTCTTGGCACATACTAGAACTCAGTGCTGGTTTTCAGCATGACTGGCACTAATTCAGCGCCGTGTTCTATTTCTAGACATTTCCAGAAGTAGATCAGGAACTATTGGGTGTGCTTATCAGCTTTGTTCCAGCACTCACGAAACACATTAAGCATGGACTAGCGTTACTTCAGAACAAAAAGAATTAATTCAGCACCCAGTTCTCTTTTTAAGCACGACCAGCGTTATTTCACAACATAGTGGGTAGATAAAATCTTCATTTACCATAAAAAGGCATTATCGAAGAGTAGGTTACAATAACTTCAGAATTGTTGTAAGTTTCGGGTACCCCAGGCTTACTGTATACTGTAACTATATACGTATATAGTTATGAGTGTATACACGAATGGAAAATTTTGGGGCAACTCAAGGCAAACATTTTCACCCGAAAGCAACCTTGAACATAGTAATTCCTCATAAAATAAATCCCAGAAGGTGCCCTAGAATTTTTTACTTGAGAATATATGTAAATATACGCACAAGTTTGTACCAATTTCGGATGTTTTTTGTAGTACAAGAGCTTCAAGCAGCAGTTGGAGCGTCGCTTCCCCGGGAAGCTTGAGATTGTAAGTCAAATGTTATTTTAACTTATTGCTAAGACTGGTGAAGGGACGCCTCAGTCAACTGGCTGGTTTGAAGTTCAAGTTGTGGATGGTCCACTTCTCCATTCTAAAAAGGTATGTTTTTGTGTATTTTCTTAACAATACTTTGTCTGTTCAGAATGGTGACGGATATGTGGACAGTAACAAGTTGCAGCACATCATTTCAGCCATTGAAAAATTGTTGTAACACCTAAAATGTGCGTACACTTAACTGTATCTGGTGTAAGCCATATGACTGAATGTAGGTAAAGTTTCGCCTACTTTCATGATGCCTGCTCTACCCACATCTGCTAACGTGTACCACTTCTGGATCTGTCATTCATTCATAAATAAATAAGTCATTTCATATTGTCTCTTGATTGCTAATAAGCTAATGGTGGGTTCTATTAATATTGAGTTACAATGAGTCAAGGTGAAGCGATAGTTTCTTTAAGTTACAACATAGATGGTCAAATGAACTTTCTAATATGGAATTGAATTCTAACGCAGTGCCTAGGTTCTACACTTACATTAATGATAGGTGGTCAAAACCTGTAAAGATTCGGTTGTCACATTTGAATTGAACTCTGTTCTCAACTAAATTTGGCTTCTGTGTTTGGGTACGAAGTCATAGTTTTTCAGATACAGATGACGAAAAGTAGTGAGCTCTTATAGCGTATAAAAACTTACAATATGCACCTCTGTAGAGATGTAATTTCTCCTTATAAGTGTACACCACGAGGTGATATCATTTGATCATGTAAGGAGTTTCAATCATTGACCACCCTCTGTGAGAGCCTAAATTCCTCACCTCTGTTCGATTTCGTGTTGAGCACCTAAATGGAGAGAAAGGATTAAAAAGGTCAACGCCCAAATCACCGTTTAGTACATGATAAGTCACCTCTCAGTCGGCATGATAATGAGAAGAAGTATAAGTGTTTTAAACTCATCGACAGTACATCATTAACACTTACCTTCTAACCAGTAGGTAGCTCCTAAACCGATCACATTGATATCATACCAATGCAACCCTTTTATTTTAGTGAGGTGACCTAGATGGGACACCTTGCAAATTGCTTTACGCAATTATTAACTACCTATAACGGTAGGTTTTGCCCCTGGGCTTCTACTCAGTTTTCCCTATCTAGCCGTTAGTTTGTTAAGCAGCATCGTACTGGTCTGAATTATTGCTTCCCCTCCACATATCCCATTCCAGTTGTTAGGTACCAATTGCATGTTCCCCTCTTCAAAGACGGCTTATATCTACATTCTTCCAGCCTCTCTGTAACCGTACATGTGTCAAATAGTTTCAAAGAATACCCGTAATCAGCGAGTATGCAACATCAGCTAAGAAGACAGTCAGTTTCAGAGTCCATCCGACCCTGGTGACTAACCTGACTTCAGTTGTGTATCATCACCGTAATTGCCTGTGTTTTTGTGGTCGTTCGCAGTGACCCCGCTAAACCCCGAAACCTTTTGGTTAGATGGAAAAACATGTATACAAATCTGTTTTTATACTTTACTGCATCTGGTTCGGCCACCGCAACTATACTTTTTATGAGTGCCGGTACAGCACTGCTTACTACAGTCCTAAGTTTCATATGTGAGCATAGTCTTCTGGGATAATGTACGCAATCCAACACCGTCTGTCGTCTTCTAAACAACTTCAATTGTCCATAGTTTAACCGACACCTCGCTTCTTGTTACAGTAGATTGATCCCATGAGGATTTTCCCTTTCCTAGTAACCTTATTTCAGAATTGTTTATGTGACGTGAATATGTAGTTTTACTGTGAGCACTATGCAGAAAAATCGCTTCCATAGAAAATGTTGATCATGCAAGTCAGTTAATTGGAGCGAATTGTTTTCATACTATGCGATATTATTTACTATTATTGTGTCCTTTAATTCCTAGAGGAACATAGGGCTTCAACCGTGCGTCTCCATTGAGTTCGGTTCTCTGCTAGAGTCTTCACATGGCTCCAAGTCAGCCTATACGTTTTCATCCCCTCTTCACATGACCTCCTCCAAGTCACCCTTGCACTGACGACCAACTCGCCGCCTCCCTTTCGGGTTCCGCTCGAGCAATGGCTTGTCTAGTGATGTCACTTGATGGTTTCCTCAGAGTATGGCCAATCCATCTCCTTTTCTTCCTGTATATTTGTTTTACAATCTGTTCCTGGTTGGTTCGCTCCCAGAGATCCCTGTTGCTGATCTTTTCTGGCCATCTGATCTTGAGTATTAAGCGAAGACAACTGTTAATGAAGGTCTGTAGTTTGTTTGAGATGCGCCAAGTCTCTGATCCGTATAGTAGCACTGACTTCACATTGGAGTTGAAAATCCGGATCTTATTTTTGATGTTGAGAGAGAGTAGTGATAGCTTGTCTTGCTTTACCAATCCTCACAGCTTTGATATCCTCGTCAGTTCCGCCTGTGGTTTAAACGATGCTTCCCAGGTAGGTGTAGAGGAGGTTGTTTCTTTCAGGTTCCTCCCATTTATGCTGATTGTTGTTGCTGTTGGTGGTGTTGCCCAGGAATCTTCATTAACTCTGTTTTCTCAATATTGACCTGAAGTCGTATCTTGGATGCTTCTTCTGCCAACTTGTTGCTTTTCGCTTGCATATCTTCCAGTTTGTGGGAAATCAGACATATATCGGCGAAGTCCAGATCCTCCAAGTTTTTTGTGTGAGTCCATTTTATGCCCGTCTCCTCGTAGTCCACCGCTGTTTGTCGCATTATCCAATCTACTGCAATCAGGAAAGTCACTGGCGGATAGTAGGCAGCCAGCTTGTCTTACTCCTGTCCTCACTTCGAAGGGTTCCGTAAGTTTCTCGTTGTGGATTACTCGGCATGCAGCATTGTCATACAGCTGTTGGATGAGATGTATAATTGTCGGTGGCGAAGTAGTTTCCAAATCACCTCTCGATCGACGCTGTCAAAGGCCTTTTCAAAGTCAATGAAGCTTTGTTCAATGATGATCCGTAATGTGGCGATCTGATCAATGCATGACTTGTTTCTCCTGAATCCAGCCTGTTCCGGTCGAAGTTTTTCATCCAGGGCATGTTTGATTCTCTCCAGGATGATGCGGCTTAGTATTTTGCTTGGGATGGACAGGAGCATAATTCCGCGCCAGTTCTTGCATTGACTTAAGTCGACTTTCTTTTGTAGTTTGAATCCTTTCTTCCAATCCTCGGGCACTTTGCCTTCTTTCCACACATTCTCCAGTAGTGGCGTCATCAAGTCCGCTGTTGTCTCTGGGTCCATTTTCAATGCTTCTGCTGGGATTCCATCTGGTCCTGCTGCTTTTCCAGCTTTTAGCATCTTGATTGCCTTCAGGACTTCTGATTTCATCGTGGGGTTGGTGTTCACTGGTAGCTCTGTCTCCGTCGTTGGTATTATTGGGCGCGTTGTCGGTGGTGGTCGATTTAGGAGTCTTTTGAAGTGTTCAGCCCAGTGTTTCCTATGCGATATAAGTACGCTTATCTAAACTTTCTTACAGAAGATGTACTCCACACTCTTGCTTAATCCTTTTAGTCAAACAATCGTTAAAGTAAAACACATCGCTTTAAGATTATCCAGTCTCAGGAATGGACAAGCTTTAAAATGCCCATTAACTGATGTTTTTGAATTTACTAAAAAAATCAAATGTGAAGGTCCAGTGTTCGGTCATTAATTAGGACATCTTTTCCGGGGAGGGGGAACCCTGAGTCGACTTTAAATTGTCAGTCTCCTGCTAACGCTACATATTTTTGCAGCGTTTTGGTATATATATTGTCATCTCTGGAGGTGCTAATTTAAAAAGACATAAGTAAGTGCAGATTAAAGTGACGTTATGAAGTGCTGTTTAGATGACTAGCCATCATGTTTTCCTCACATTTGTTTCTAATATCAATGAGGTATTACATATATATATATATATATATATCGATGTCTGCAAATTCTCACACGTGTTTCTTCAGAGAGAATGTTACGGTGGACCCACTGAGCAATACGAGGCTGAGATCATTTTCAGCTAAAAGTCACTTACCATTTTAGTTTTCTCAATACATATGTTGTTGAATTTTTACTTTTGTGAGTGCTTGACTGGTCTGAGTCGTAATATTACAAGCTGCAGTGCTCGTTATAGTCCCTTGCATCTAACCTACACCCGGGTTACAACATGAGTTCTGTTTTTTAGTGATAAGCATTACAGTAAAGCGTAAAATTTATTCACTGGAGGAAATTTCTGCTTGGCATCTGCAGAGGTATTTCGAAACAAACATATCCAAGTGAATTTACTCAATAAGGGAGGTACGTTCTTATTAAAAGATGTAAGTTAATTATGCACAGTTCTTGTACTGTAGTTGTTAGCTGCATAGGTACATGACCGCTATGCGATTTATTCAAAGAACTTATGAAATTTATCGGTTTCCTAGGGCGAAAACAAAATCAGCTTTGTGATAGTGAGACTTGAGGAAATTGTTTATTTAATCATTGGTGGTAAGTCGATACATGCAATCCAGCAATAATGAGCATGACTTATATTTCCGGGATAAATAAATCCACTCAGAATCTCATTTATTCTCCATAAGCTGAGCCATTTAATGGATTCTTGTCATCTGATGCCAATCTATGCAGACCCTGTCATCACGGTGCATACGTGCGCCGAAATTTTAGACCAAAAGTTCTACTTCTCTGGTAAGAATTGGATATGATAGTCACTGTTTATTGTGACGAGTTTCATATCAAAGTGCTGTGTTTATTACAAGAGTACCACTCATATGACAGTTAAATGTCTCAACGGTGTTAGTTGGAATGTTCACTTACTAGGCGCACTGATTGCTAGTTTCCACGGAAGCAGTTTCTAGTTAAGGTGGACACAACAGTTATTATATGTGAGAAAACTTGAGCACTGTGGTAGTATAGAATTTCATGGTAATTTGTTTATTAAATATATCACAATGAAATAGTATTAATGGAATGTGAACTTCCAATGTTAGGTTGTAGCATGGAAGTATTTACGGAAAATCCACATATTCAAACCGATATTTGGACTTCGGATAATCCTACCTGACGTCAGTAAAAATAGGATCGGTGAAATGTTTACGTAATACAGCACAAAAACTAGGTAGTACCAAGGAAAATCTAAGACAGGAAGTGAGGCATATAAGAGTAGCTTTCAAACGTAATAATTACCCTGACAAATTAATCAGGAAGTATGTAGGAAAATGTGAAAATAAAATTAGTAATTATAATATATATTATAATATACCCAATGCCCAAATTTTTTCAAACCGTTAAAAGTCAACTTGGTTTGGACATATATAAAATTAGTAATAATGGTAGGGATATTGATAATATTAATGACAAAATACATGTCAAACATGCACAAAAAGAAGACAACAATGCGGAATTTTAGTCGTCAGTAGTACTTCTATACAAAGATGGTACCTCGGAAACCTTACGGAGAACTCTTAACAAGGCAGGAATAAAAGTAGCATTCAAACCCACAAACTCTGTCGGTTAAAGGATCCTATGGAGTCAATTAAACAAAACAATTTGCTTTATCTGATGTCCTGCGATGATTGTCAGGTCAAAGTAGTCGAACAGGGTCAGTCAGACTAGCGGAGCATAAAAATCTAGAATAGTTGACCTGAATAAGATAAGAAATCTAGAGGATAATTCAGCTATTCCACTCACTACACACAATTAATTGCACAACCCTACAACAAGATGGGATAAGATGACTTTTAAAATCTAATGTAACAG